CCTGAAATGGCAGTACTGGCGATAGACCAAGGTGTGGGTGGACAGGGCTGGAGGGGGGACGGGGGGGGCGGGGCTGAGGGATGTGCCAGTTCCCACTCTGCATTTGGTCAGAAAGCCTGTGGGAAAACTCTATCACCTTCTTGTTCCATGAACTTGGTGAAGCCCCTTGTGTGTCAGCCCGGGGTAGTCCTTTCTATGGTCTGAGCCTTAGCCTTCTCGTTTACAAAACGACGACATGGTACCCCTTTGATAGATTTGCTGTGAGGATTCACTAAAGGCATGCGTGTGTCCTCCAATTCTCATGGAATCCAGATCTTCTGGATTCATGGAGGCTGGATGAGTGCCCCTGAAACTATCACCATGAGATTATCTTTAAACCTTAGACCAAAAAAAAAGAGATTCACTGGAGCCTTCTTTAAGCCGAACAAGTTTGGTTTATCTAGTAACGGACATTTGCCTCGAGCACGCTGCTCTCTTCAAGAGCTGCCGACACAGGGTCACATGGACAGCAGTGGCTCCAAAGGTCAGGCGTGGGGGCTTCGGGAGCCATGAGTCACGTCAGGGCTGGAGGGATCCTTTAGAAACGGCAAGGGTGGCTGCACAACTTGTGGAGTCTCATTAGTGTCACTGGACTGCCCATGTGGCGGCCGTTGAACCGGTACACGGCGCTGTTCCACTAGATTCATGACAGCAAGGCAAGTAGAAGGTGAAGAAGGGGGGAGAAAGGGGGCTGACGATGCCAGCTTACCGCAGGAGCAGAGTAGCTGCTTGGCAAGAAGCAGATGGGAGCAAGCTGGAGCATCAGGGTCCCCACACTAAAAGCAGAGCCCCCCCACCCCCATAGAGCGCCCCCTGCTGGCGGATGGCCAGGGCACAGGCAAGTGACTGGAAAGGGGAGGCGGTGGGAGATGCAGGGAGGAGGGAGTGGGCTGCCTGGGAGCTGTGGACTCAGTGGGGATGCTTCTCCCAGGCCTCCAGGTGGCTCTGGCTGGTCCAGCAGGACCACTCACTATCTGCAGTTGCCAGAGGACAGCCAGGGCAGATATCTGCCATTCTGCACACTCACATACTGACTTCAGCAAAGACTGGGGGCTCTGGACACGGCTGTCTCTTTCCAGTGGGGTTTACGGGCCCGTAGTGGAGAGGGTCTCACGTGTCTCCTGAAACTAACATGAGCCACGGCATGCCACAGGGTGCCTCAGCTGGGTCCTCCCGTCCGCAGCTGCCTCTCAGCACCCCAGGGTTCCCAGGCGGCCAAGGGACCAGGCCAGGGGCCTCACCTGGGTTTGCCTCTTTTCCCTTTGCGGCCCCTTCAGGCAGAGGAGGGGAGGGAACTGGTACAGCTAGGCTGCACACAGGGGGCAGTGGCTGGGTCTTGTCACCTGCTGTGAAGGGAATGGTCTCCCCTCTGCCCCCTATAAATGTGTGTTGGAATCTTCACTCCCCGCACCCATAGGTAATCGTATCTGGAAATAGCGTAGAAGAGCCTCATCTCTCTCCCAAGGAGCGATGGTGATTTTGAACCGCCGACCTTGGGGTGAGCAGCCCACTGTGTAGAGCTACACCCCCAGGCTCCTTAGGGTGGTGCATCCAAACGAGGGGGTCTCTCACATCAGAGGGGACAACCCGGTCCTGCTTAGCTCTGCAGGGGTGACGTCGTCCCGAGAAATTAGCAGGGCTCCATTCTTTTCCGCCCTGGATGATGAGATGCTCCAACGTGGACCTTGGGGATGAGGACAAACCCTGCCCCTCTGGACTGAGGTGGTGTGGCCGTCTCCCAGTCCTACAGGCTGAGCCAGGGCCAGGGGGCCGCCCAGCAGGGAAGAGCACCCCCCGGCTCCTAAGCCAGGCAGACTGCGTGTCATGGGGAGCCGTGAGAAAGTCCTGAGTGGCCGCCGGGAGGCCAGTCCGGGGCTTCCCTGCAGAGAACGGAGCAACGGAGGCAGTGCCACACCAGTGCTTTATTATTGTGACCTGGCACAGGAAGCTGGGCCAACACTGAGCGGGGTTAAGGAGAAGGTGGTGGGTGGGTGTGCTTACAACTTGAGCAGGTCTCTCTAGGCAGTAGGTTAGAATGCACCTAGTATAAAGTGACCAGACATCCCCCTTTTGGCACAACAGTCCCCATTTTTAACATTTTTTCCCGCGTCCCGCAGCATTTTAAAAAACGCTTTTTTGAAAGAATGCACGACAAGCTAGGGAACGGCAGGAGAACCAAACTTTTAATCAAGAAACCCCACCCCCCCCAATGGTGTCCCGCTTTACCAATGTTAAAATCTGGTCACTTTAACCTAGTATCCAACTACAATAACAGTCACAAAGGCGACTGCTGTTTCTAGAACACTGTGAGGACCCACAGCCTGGGTCGCCTGGGCTGTGGTCCTTCAGGGCACTTGACCAGGGGTGTCTGGGGAGCCTGCATGAGAGGATAAGGGGTCCGTCTGGCACGCACCACTCCACGGACAGCTCGGGGAACAGGCCTGGGCAGTGTGCTGAAACAGAAGACGGGTCAGCTCCCCCCAAGGCACAGAGAAGGTGGCTGGGCAAGCAGGTCTTGGGGTGTCTATTGCTTTCTCTCTGGAAGAGGATTCAGGGTCCTGGTGTCCCAGCCAAGGCCAAGGGCCCGCTGGGCGACCCTGGGTGGGTGGGGCAGTAGAGGCACGGGGGCGAGGCGTCCTCCACCCGACCACCACGTGTCCGGGGCTCCAGCTGGACTCGTGGAGGGATGTGAGAGGGGCCAGCGGTGGAGCTGGCTCCTTGTGAGATCGTCCAAAGCCGAGGCTCCACAGGGGTGGGAGAGCCCAAGATCGGCAGCATCCGTTCCTGTCCTAGGGACTACGTGCTTTAAGGAAGGGAAACCAAGGCACCTACTTTGGAAGGTGCCTCCTGAGAAAGGCCTGGGGCTGGCTTCTGAAAGGCCACGGCTTTGGAAGCACCTGGAGGAAGGATGCTCTGGCTTCCAGGGGACGATGCGAGTGGGAGTGGGGGCTGCACCGGCTGGTGGGTTTTGTTGTTTGATCGCTATCTTCGGCCCCCACGAGAGGATTTTCCCTGCCGCCCCCACCTTCAGCCGGTTAAGAGGCTGCTCCCTTTCTCTCCCCAGGCTCACCGGGGACAGTAAGCAGTGTGCTTTGAGTGGGGGAGTGAAAGACAGCTCCCATCCCCTCCCCTGAGCTGACAATTCTGAAGGTGGGGGACGGGGGGCGGGCATGGCAGGTGCCAAGATCCAAGAGTCAGATCCCAAGATCCAAGAGTCTTGCAGGCATGAGGGTCCTGGGGCCCTTCACACGGGACACCTCACCCCTGCCCTGGGGTGGCCGAGGGCTGGTGATTCAAAGGCCACCCAGAGGTCCATCGAGGACAGACCTGGAGCTCTGAAAACTCCATGGAGCAGCCCTGCCGGGAAACAGCTGGAGTCCCCGGGAACCTGCGTTGACTTGGCCACCAGGGGTTGAAATGGCTGGCTTCCTCGGTGCCATGCAGGGCCCGGGGGGTGGGGGTAGTGGTGAATGCCCACACATGTTTCCATCCCAGAGCCCCACCCCAGCAGACCGCTGAGGTGGGTGAAGCTGCAGAGGAGAGGGGGCGTTCATGGGGCAGAAAAGGCCCTGCCTGGGCCCTGCCCCCCCCCTCCCCCAGTGGAGGGCACGGAGAGCTCTGGGCAGCAAAGCTCAGCTCAAGCCCCAGAGGTGGCGCTTCTGTGAGCCCCGCCCCCCACCCAGTGCCACAGAGCCAGCCTGAAACAGACCACAGTTCTCTGCTGCCTGCAGGTGTGGGCAGCGGGCACTTGGGCCCTGCTGGATGACTCCGTGCACCCTGGGAGGGGCATGAGGTGCCCCGAGGGAAAGTGTGCCTGACCGCTCATTACTACAGAGGGAGATGGGAGGTTGGGCCAGAGAGGCTCCCGGCCTTGTTCTCTTGGCTCTGTCTTCTGGGGGAGAGAAACCATCATGACATGACTGGGAATCCCTTGCTTTCTCTGAGCCTCAACGTCCTGTCTGAAAAATGGGGGGCAATGGACATTTAGTGACCCCCACTTGACCTACTCATCCCTCAGGCCACGCAAGTCAGCCCCCGGATGCCCTGGAGTTGGGGCTGGACTACTGGGGAAGGGGGCAGGGGAAACCTTTTAAACAACCCCTGGCCCTCCACCCCCCACCAAAGGCTGTTTATCGCTCTCTCCTCCAGGAACTTGCCATTAGGGAGGCTTGGGGGTGCACTACACCCTCTTGGAGTCTCTGTGAGCGCGGGGAAGGGCGACTTGGTGTGCTCTGGATGGGGCCGTGCTGTTCCCTCTGTGGGGCTCCAGGCACCCAGTTTGTCTGTAACACGCCAGGGGAGTCTCTGGACCCTGCGTACAGCTGTGTCCTGTCTACCCAGGACTTTCAATGGGGATGTCCTCTTTCCAGCGATGGATGCATGAGCCAGCCTGAGCAGGTACCGGAGAAGCTAACATCCTGGTGGGGGCACACCAACTGCGGACCCTCTCCTTGGCTCCAGACACAAGCCCCTTTGTGCCCCTCCGCAGCACTCTGCCACATTGGGGCCTCCGCTCCCTGCCCCCCAGGATGCTGGCATGAACCAATATGTTCTGGGCTACCCTGGCACTGGACAGCTTGGGGCAGCCATCCCCGCAGTGGCTGGCTGGGCTGGACGGGAGTCCGAGGGAATCCTGCTGACAGGCAGGCAGGCAAGCTACCCAATACGTGGGGCTGGGGACAGAGGAGCCAGGCCTTCCTGGGCCACCCCCTGCCCCCCACCAAGGCTGTGCAAATTGTCCCAGCCCGTTCTTTCTTCCAGTTGCCAACAAGCGGGCCTGACTCATGGTGACCCCGTACATTTCAGACAGCACGCCGCAGGGTTTTCACGGCCGTACGTGGTCAGCAGACTCGTGCGTGGCCCCCTGTGCTGCCGGGGCTCCTATCGGCCAAGATCTCTTCAAGTAGGTCTTTTTTGCCCAAGGTGCCTCGTGGTGGCTTGGACTGCCAACCTCGTGCATAACCACTTGATTCAGGTGTTCACCTTGGGTCCCTCACCCTTTCTCTGTCTCCCACCTCCAGGAGCCTGGCTGACTCCTGGGAAGAACTCAGGGTGGCGGCAGGGAGAACCCGTCTGGCTCACCGGACTGCTCTCTTTTCAGCTCCCCCCACACACTGGCAGTCGATGGCGTCCCATGGGGAATGCGGAGAAGCCCCAAGGGGTGGCTGTGCCCACCCAAGACCGTGGCCACGCCCTCCTGTTAGTGCAGGGTGGGTGGGGGATGGCGGGAAGCCAAGATGTGCAGGTCAGGCCCGTGTTGGGGACAGCAGTGAGTGACCTGGGCCTAGAGATGGGACACTCAGGCCTGGCCCAGCGCATGGAAGCTGTGTCCATCAGACTGTGGGCCGGGTCAGGTGGAGGCCAGTGCTGACCCCTCTCAGCCCTGGTCTAAGCCTTTTCACGTGGTGGAAGTACCGGGTTCAGTCCCCGCCCCCCCCACCAAGCTACCTAGGGGCATGCAGGCTAGAGGTGAGGTCACAGCCCACATGTGACAGAGATTTTGGGGGGTGGGCACCACAGTTGTCTTAGGGCCTTGGTGGCATAGTGGTATGAGTGGGGTGGCTAACTTCAAGGTCGGCAGTTTGAAACCACCGGCCGCTCCTCGGCAGAAAGAGGAGGCTTTCTACCCCCATAAAGAGTTTCAGTCCCTGTCCTATAGGGTCATCGGACTCAATGGAAGGGAGATTTTGCGGGGTATGATGGTTCTGTGAGTTGGTGCCTGCTCTTTAGAAATCGGCCAGCATCGTAATCCGCTCTCCGGAAGCACTTCCTTTTGGCTCTCCCAGTACTGCAGAGGACTCCCAGCGCAGCCCAGAGGGTGAGCGTGCCTGTCTGCAGGCCAAAGGGTTCAAATTCTGAGTCCACGCAGAGGTGCCTTGGGAGAAAGGCCTGGCGGAGCACTGCCCCTTGCCCTCGTGGGGTTACCGTGAGCCGGAATGGACTGGAGAGCAACTCGGTGGTATCTGAGATGGTCCCCTCAAAATCGGCTGCTACGTTCAGGGTTGGAAGTGAGCTGGTAGCATGAAGGCCAGGGGGTGGGAGGCACCTCCCAGGAGCCAGCCAGCATGGCCACGTGGCCAGGGTGAGGGGGTTGGGGAGAGCGTGCCCCAGGGCCGAGCACCTCTGTCCTCAGAGCTCCACCTCCCCAGGGGCTTCAGCCTCCTATGGTCTGTGACTTGGCCCCACTGGCAAGGTCTTACAGCCACCAGCACTGGAGGGGTGGAGAGGGGCTGGGAAGACTGGCATTCTGAGCGCCAGGCCCCTAAGCAGGGGTCCCCTGGGGGATACGCTGGTAATGGATGGAGCTGCAGCACTGGACGCTGGGAGGCCAGGTGAGTTTCTCCGGGCAAAGCCTGAAGGGAGCAGAGACTAGGGGGTACTGAGGGTAGCCAGCTCTCCCCATCTTTGCCAGCTGCTCCCCACCAGCCTCCAGCCCAGCTCCTGGGCTGCCCTACCTTGGGATTCTGCCCCCAGGCTCTCAGGACACGGTGTCTGACTGAGCAGGTTCTGGGGATGGCAGATCAGAGCAGCTGGGTCTCTGATGTACTTCCCGGTGGAGAGCAGAGCACCCGCCTGCAGCAGGGGCAGGGGCAGGGGGCCAGCTCCCCTAAGGACATCTAAGTAGGAAGGAGGTGTCCCAGAGGACTCAGGGTTCAGAGCTCTGTCCAGGCAATGGGGTTAAGAGAACGGAGTGCCCAGCTCTGGTCCCCTAAGTCCATGGGGCCTGCAGGTTCTGGCTGCCTACAGGCTGACCGCTGTCTGCATCTGGGGGGGGTTGGCACTGAGGGAGGGGCCCAGGGGCCCTGCTGGGCTGTGGTCGCAGGCACTTGGCAGGTTCCCAGGGGGTGGACACAGAGTCAGCGGCGGAGTCCGGGGCCCTGGTGGAGCTGGTGCTGCTCCGCAGGCCTGGCAGAGGGGTGGGCATCTGTCCTTGGAGGGGCAGTCAGAGGGGAGGTGGCGGCCACTAGGAAAAGTGCAGCTGGAATCTCCGGTATAAGCAGCAGGTGAGAACCATCCCGCAGATCTGCCGGGCGGGGAGGAGAGGGACAAAGAGCCATCAGACGCCAGGACGCCGCTGCTGCCCGGTGCCTGTGCGACCCCCACCGGACCATATTCAAGGGTGCTAGCCCGCCTGGCCGGTCTGGGCTGGCGCCTGAGACTCTGTTTACCTGGCAGGCCCAGGTGCTGCAGGCCCCGTGACCGCACTTTTGAAGGACCACTGCCCGAGAGCAGCGTTTCTCAACACCCCTGGTGCAGGAAGGGCTGGGACCTCGCCAAGTGGCAGCTCCCGGTTTGCTATGGAGGAGCCCTGGTGGTGTAGTGGTTAAGCCTGGGACTAATCTGCATGGTGGGTGGTTTGAAACACGGGCCGCTTCCCAAGAGAAAGACTGGGCTTTCGACTCCAGTACACAGGTAGGAGTCTCAGAAACCCACAGGGTGTCACTGTGAGCCAGCAGGGACCGGATGGTGGCGAGTCTGGGTCTTTGGTTACGCTGGGCGTGGGCCTGAGGCTGCTGGCCTGTGGTCCCAGGCCTTCCTAGCCGACCCGATGGAATGAGGGCCCAAGGCTAATGCCCTCGCTCCTCCATCAGAGCTGGAGGACGCTATCTTTCCCCCCTAGGACAGGCTCTGTCTGCATCTCCCTTCCCCCAGACCCCAGAGCAAAACCCCAGGCCCACGGCCAAGCCTCTGGTTGGTCTGCGCAAGCTGTGGGGGAAACTGCGGCATTGAGGGACCCTGGACAAGGGTGAGCCGAGAAGCACCCAGGCAAACATCATTGAAATTCTGTTAAAAAAGTACAAATGCGCAGCGATGGTTTCTGGACATATCCTCACCCTGGGTCAGTCCACTTCAGAGGACAGCATTCTCTTTCTCTGCCCGCCCCGTGACACCACCACCCCCCCGCCCCCAAGAGTCTGTGCTCTTCAACTGACCACACAGAAAGAAAAAAAATGGGTGTGTGTGTGGGCATCCCTGAGAGATTCAAATCGTGTTCCTTTTCAATGTTCTCTGAGTTCGGGGCATACAACGAAGTCCGAAGGGGCAAGATCAGGGCACAAGGGTGGATGGGGGAGGGTCTCCTGGTGACCTTCTCACAGGACACCTGCCCGCCCCCCCTCGGAGAATGAGCAGGTGCGTGCTCCTGTGGGACATTCCTGTGTGTGGTCTCCCGGCCTTGTCCTCACCCAATGCAGCTGTCCATGTGCTGAAAACATCTTCCTGTGCCCATCCTGTGTCCTGCAAGAAAGTCTGTCCAGATGACCCCTTTGGGGTCCCCACCCAAAACCTGTCACCATGCCCTCCCTGCCTCAACTGAAGCGGCCCAGCAGGCCCTCTCAGAAGCCACTGCTGTGATTGGATGGTTCTTTCCAGGCACCATCACGAGACCCAAACAAGTGCACTGCTGCGAGAACTTGTCTGCAGCTAGGCGCTCACTGGTCTCAGAGCTGCGTCTAAACACAAACCTACATTCGTGTGAACTGGAATCCAATACTGGCTGACGGACCCACCTGAATCTGCTTGGAGGGGTTCCGCACCCAGGACCCCCGATGTCCTGCCTCTCAGCCCTCTCTGGTGTCCAAGAGTTGGTAGAGCACCGTCCAAACGCACAAAGACTGACTGCCACGGAATCCACTCTGACTCACGGGATCCACTCTGATTCACCGCAGCCCTACAGGACGCGGTACAACTGCACTGTGGGTCTGCCAGGCTGTTGATCTTCACGGGGACAGAGGGCCTCGGCTTTCTCCCGTGGAGCGGCTGGTGGGTTGGAACTGCTGGCTTTGCAGTGAGCAGCCCAGTGTGTAAGCCACGGTGCCACCGGGGCTGCTTGCACCATCTTGGGACGCTCACTTGGAAGTCGCCACGGGGGCCCCTCTCTTCCTTTTCCCTCCTCACTCCTGCCCACCTGTCCAATTTGGGGTGAGGACAGCGGAGACCTGCTGGTGCGGGTGCGGTCTTTAGCCCTCAGCATTGGTGCAGGGCGGGCTTAATCCAACTCAGACTCAGAGTGGCATAAAAGGTGATCTCACCCTCCGCTGGCATTAAGCAGGTGGTGGCCACAGTCTTCTACGCAGGTGTTAGGCAGCCCGCCCTTCCTCTTCCCCCCCACATAGTGCGTTTGTCTGCGGGTTTCTGAGCCTGGCCTGGGTGGAGCTGCTCTGTTGGACCAGAATAGACTTGGCTGTGCTGTGTCCATGTGCCCTAGAAGGTGCACTGCATGCCAGGGGCATGGGCAATGCTGAGCTCTGGCACGCACTGTCCTGAGATGTGTCCCCAGCTGCTCACCAGTGAGTGTGCACATGCACACCCCCCCATGTGCAGGTGCCTCTGTGCGCACACCCCCCCAGTCGGCTGGGCTTCTTCAGTGTAGAAGAATAAGCGCGCACACACCCCCCCCCCCCAATGCATGCAGAGGATAAAGAAGGCTCCCTTCCCTGTGTGTGCACACGGGCTGTCACACACATGTACCAGATTCCTTCATAACAGGTGGTCCCATTATTGTGTGTGCACATGTATGTACCACACACACACACACATGCACACACACACCTTGATCCCATCATAACAGATGTTCCCATCACTGTGTGAGCACGTGTACACCCCCCCACACATGAGGGCGTACTCCGAAAACAAAACAAAACAAAACAAAACAAAACAAAACAAAACGGAGGAAAGCCCTGCTGTGTGGAGCTTTCACAGTACGCATTTTTCCAGTTAGGCGAGCAACTTGCTCAGAGTTAGTGCACTCAGTGGCATCGCCTGGGAAGGTTCTCTCTGGTCACAGCGAACTTTTTTGTAAATGGAGTTTTGCTGGAACCTCGATTTTTGTGATGGCGGATTTAAGAGAACAGCATGCGACTGTGAAATTTTGTTTCCTGCTCGGGGAAAAATGTTGTGATGTTGAACCCAGCTTACAAGGTCAGCGCTATGGGGAAAATCTCAAGTGTATGAGTGGTTTTCTCATTTCAAAAAAGGTGAAATGTTGATTAATGACAACTGGACATGCGTCAACTTCCCAAATAGACAGAAATGTTGTCAAAATTCATGCACGTGTGCTCAAAGACCGACGATGGGTCACTGAAGAGATGGGGAGGTTTGCTGGACTGTCTTGGAGCTCAGTTCAGCGAATTTTAATGGAATGTTTGCGACTGAGAAGCATCAATGTGAAATTTGTGCCTCAGGTCCTGACTGACCAGGAAAAAGAGCATTGAGTGGAAACATGCTGAGTTTTGAAAGAACAGCTCTGACGTGACCCAGTCGTTATTTCCCCCAAGGTCATTACTGGTGACCAGACAAGGTGCTATTCTTACGACCCCGAAAGCAAACATCTATCAAGCCAGTGAGAGAGGCCATCATCAAAAGCCCCCCAAAGCTCGTCAAGGGAAATCAAAGATCACGACGATGCTCATTTGTTTATCTGATGTGAGGGGCATGGGGCATTTGTAGTTTGTCCCACCAGGCCAGACTGCTCATCAAACTTTCTATTCAGAGGTTCTGAGAGGAATGCATGACAGTGTGTGAGCAAAAAAGGGGCTAATTTGTGGCAGACAGGGGTGGTGGTGGTGGGGGTGGGGTTGCCGCCACGAGAATGCACCTGCTCACACAGCCATCTCAGTGCGCCACTTGTGGTAGTTACATCATCTGGTGTCAATGTGAAGACTCAGAGTGAAGGGGTGGAGACTAGCCTGTCAATCAGATCACAGCCAATGAAGCCTCTGTGTGGGCGTGGCTCTCTCCTGAGGATTCTGGGAGCTCCAGTATTCTTCCTTGGAGGTGGGAGACTCTCTCTCTCTCTCTCTCTCTCTCTCTCTCTCTCTCTCTCTCTCTCGGCTCACTCCCTGAGAGATGCTCTACTGACAAGACACATGCGCTAAGCTGATAGACCTTGTGCCTTGGGACCTGAAGGAACCATGCGGAGACCCCTGCCAGAGCTGAGATGCCTCTACCTCCACTGGATCCACAAGACTTTGCACCCACTGGCCTGGGATCGTCCTGCATTTGGCATCATTGCATGTGTTGCGTGAGTCTGAAGAGGACTTGATAGATTGGTATTAGACTTATGGACTTGATCTGGACTGGGCTGGGATGTTTTCTCAATACTCAATTACTCTTGTATATAAACCTCTTTCTTATACCCATATGAGTGTCCATGAATTTGTTTCTCTAGTCTACCTGGACTAACACACCAGTTTTGGACTAAAAAAACATTCTTCTCTTGCCCCATGCACCTTACTCACCTGCCCTCAATCCGTGAGACTTGTTTTTGTTTCCATGAAAGAAGAGGGACATGAAAGGACAGCGATTTGACTATATTGGTGAAGAAAAAAATGAGGGAGGTGCTCTCAGCCATCCAAACAGATGAGTTTGAGAAATGTTTCCAAGAATGGACTTGCAGATTTGACAAATGTATTACATGTAATGGAGAGTACTTCGAAGGTGATAAGGTTGTTTTGTAAACAAAATTTAAATACATGGGGGAAATCCATTTTTTGGGAGGCGGTACCTCTTATAAAGCTGATTGCTTTAAAACAGGGCACACAGGCACCCTGATTCAGTCAGGGAGGGAAAGGAAGCCAGCCACTAGCTCTAGGGAGGCAACAGCACCCTATTCCTGGTTGAGGACCCAGCAAGACCACCCGCAGAGTTCCCCCCACCACCCAGCCAGTGCAGGGTGAGCAGACAGACTCACGTGACAAGAAGGAGCCAGAGATGGCAGGGGTGGGGTGGGGCGGGCTGCTGGAGCCCGACCTGCCTGGACACAGCCCCGGGGCCACACGGGGCATTTTCTCAGGGCAGTGGCATGAGTTTAACGTCTTCTGGGGTTTCTGAGCCAGCACATAGCTGTTCCCCAGGGCTTCACGGCAGCGCCAGGTCTCTGGGAAGTCACACCAGTCTGGCTTCTTGGACTTCCATTTAGTGACCACCGGGGCCCAATCCTGGCTGTTTTAGGAAATGTTCCCGGGAAAAGGCCACTATCTTTCACTTACATATTTCCACTTTTGGGGGACTGCCGGGCAGGTG